ATTTGATTAATTGATATCAAATGCTTTAGTTGTAAAATCTCATTCATACTTTTGACTGTGATAGATTGATAATTAGAATGCATGATAGTGATTGTTCATTTTTTTTTCATGTTTTTAACATTTTAATTTTTTTCGCAACAGGCAAATCGTGCTTGCGCACTTGTAACTTTCAGTTCGGTGGGTTTGCCCCATCACCATCACCGCCACAGACACCACCATGGTCACGGCCACCACCACAACCACCACGATCACGACAAGCAAGAAGTACACCAACATTTAATGCATACCGAAACCGAAAATGCTCTGGTAGAAGAAGAATGTTGCCGATGGTTAAAGGAAGTGGATAACGATTGCGCGTGTAGCGTGTTCGTTCATTTGCCCACATTTCTCGCAAAACCTCCACACAATTATTCTCTTGTGGTTAACGACGAGTGCGAAGTTTCATTTCAGTGCAGTCCAAGGTTGGCCTAACTTTCGAAAAACGATGATTCGAGTATTAATATATGGTACTTATAATAGTATTAATGATAATATGTTGAAAGTAAATTAAGGTATGAGGGGTACAAGGAGATATGTGATCAAAAGAAGTATATGTTTGGCATTTTGATTCCTTAATTTCAATAATGCTGCAATTAATATTAATTAAAATTCAACTCACTTAAGTTTGAAAAGAATAAAAATACCAATAAACAACTTTATTTTTATGAGACCCTACACCAATGCAAGTTGCACTATCATCAAGTATTTAACTACCCCGCATCGCATGCGTGTGGGTGTGAACATAAAACATACACTTTCGACTCAAAACAGTTAAACTAGATGTTATCTAAACCACTTTTTCCTTTGATATGTTTTCCGGATGATCTATCCGAGGTGGGCTGACAAAATTTAACTACAATTTTACATTTTTTTTTAAATAAAACACTCTCAACTAGATTGATTATTGCAAGAAAAAAGAAAAAAGAAATTTAAGTCGTGTATAAATATATAATAGATTTCACCTTATGGCTTATACACAACTATGTACAACTACATAGTGAAGTCACGAGTGAGTGTGTGTTAACTGTTGATCCAGTGCAGTTGTGTGACGAGCTAAATCTTCTACAAAAATACCAATTTGGTGTTGACCAAAATTAAAGTCGTGTATAAATAAAAATACAATAAGTTTCACCTTATACACAACTATATATATACAACTACATGGTGAACTTACGAGTGTGTGTTTAACTGTTGATCTCAACAGTAAATGCAGAGCCAAATCGTCCACAAAAATACCAATAAAAAATCCAATGAATGCAGAGCCAAATCGTCCACAAAAATACCAATTTGGTGTTGACCAAAAATGATTCAAGCTCAATGAAATTATTAATATATATAAATATAAAAAATGTGAATAATTAAAGACCATATTGCTTAAAGCTATGCCTATATGTAAATCCCCTTCCTCTC